TTTCATAATTATTTTTAAAGTAATAAAATCATATGAAGCAAAAATTAAATGTGTTTAGTCTTTTTTTTAAAATAAGCTTAAATTATAACGATAACAATGGAATAATATTAGCAGTGTATTTAGTCTAAGCAATACATTATGCACTGATAAGATATACAAAAGATAAGGATCTTGAAAATGGATAATGTAAGATAAAGTGTGTCAACTAATTTACTCTTTCATATAGCATTTTGAAATATACTGACAGCATGATTAGCGGATAGCCTAGGCTCTAAAGTTAATCAATTATCCGGGAAAAAAAATAAATAAAAATTGTCATTTTGAATTATTCGTTAGTTCTATGAAGTAATCATGAACTCAATGAACTCACTGAACTCACTGAACTCAATAAACTCAATGAGCTCAGTGAAACTTAATGAACTCAATCAACTCGATGAAACTCAATGAACTCATGAACCTAATAAACTAAATGAATTCAATAAACTGAATGAACTCAATGAACTCATGAACTTATAAACCCAATGAACTCGAACAATAATGAACTTAGTACCTTAGTTGTATTTTGTAATAACTCGATCGATGATAGTCACATCAAGAACATTTTTTTTCCCTCAAAATAAAATTGTATTTTAAAAAAAAAACTTCATTTAATCCAATGTTTGGTATTTTATTAATGTTATATTTTTCCAAAATTTAACGAAATCATTTTATCAAAGAAAAAAGGAAAATGCTAGGAAGAATCGTATGATTTGCCAGAAGTTTTGTCAATTGTATAGAAATGATATTAGTCATGAGAAAGAGACTAATCTTTGTTTAAGCTAAGTAAGTTTGCATACGTGATTGATTACAGGCCGTTCAATAATCAATGGCTTCAAAAATTGGACGATTCATAAAGGTATCAAAAAATGTTTTCCAAAAGTAAACAAAATAAATTATGGTTGATAGAAGTACTATTTGTTATAATTAATGGCGATATGATTGAGCATAAATCACAATTAATAACACTAAGTACAAAATTGTATTTGTTATTTTATCAACCTAATTATAATTTTTATTCCATCTAAACGAATTTCCACCATTAACTGTTTAATACCTTTAGTATCGCTGAAATTTTACATTAAGTTTTTATTGGATTTGAAATATTCGTTTTGAAAATCTTGTTTTCATCTCATTGATTAAATTTCATTTTTTTTCACCGATAATATCTATTTAATTCATTCTTCCTTTGCGTTAGACTAAATCAAATTTAATTGAATAAATTTCTTAATGCATCGAAATTAATTTGCATAATATGACCTTTTAATGATGCAAAACTTTGCACTCATGGTAATAACCATTAAATTGTTTAAGTTAATTCTTTCACACATTTATTTATTTCTTTTGTTGCCTGAAAATCATAATTATATATATATATATATGTATATATGGTTCTTTTCCTTTTCATCCTTTATTTACTAAAAGATTTGACAATTTAAAAATTAAAATAAAGATTTTTTGAAACAGAAAAGAATGAGTTAAAATTGAAGTAAATAATTTTTTCCTTCTCTTCCTCTTCCTTCTCTTCCTTTTTTCTATTTCTTTTTTTCCTCTCAAAATTAAAGAATTTATTACACTCTATTAACGTAAAATTAATGAGATACTTGTGCAAATTCTTTTGCTTTTTGTCGTTGTTTTTTTTCCTCTTCCTCTCCTTTTTTTTTTTTTAATTTTCAAAAGTTGTTTATGCAGATGAATGAAATTTTCTTTCGCAAAGAGAAGTTTGCTCAGATGGCAGGAATCTGTCAATCTATCCAACCAATCATTATCATCATCATCATCATCATCAGTACGATTCTTATTATCATTATTATCACTCTATTTGATTATTCAACCAATCATTGTCATCATCATTATCATCCATCATCAGTACGATTCTTATTATCATTATCATTACTTCACTTGTTTATCCAACAACCATTTCGCTGCTTTATTTATTTGTTTCTTATTTTTTTAGTTTAACTTGTCTGAAAATTGATGAATTGCTCTATATTGTTTACTCATGTATGCTAAGCCTATGACATTGCTACTCTTTCATTTACACATGCCAAAATGCATACATATGTGTGTGTATGTGTGAATGTGTGCGTTTTGTGTGTATGTATGTGTATGTATGCACACGTGCGTGTATGTGTATGTATATTATATGTTATGTGTAAGCGTGTGTATATGTGTGTGTGTATATGCGTGTGTGTGTGTGTGTGTGTGCGTATGTGTATGTGCATGCATGTGTGTATGTGTATGCATATGTATGTTGTGTATGTGTGATCTGTGTTAACGTAATTCATTTTACGATAGAATATATTGTTGATTTCTATGCTTTATTAGTTGATTAAATAATTATGACCAATTAAAATGTCGAAAAATCTAAAAAAAATTTAATATTCAATTTGAAATTTTCATCATAAATGTTCCAATTATTATTTCAATTCATTAATTGTTAATTTATGAATTAAAATAGTTTCTTTGATGATTTTTTCTATTCTTAATTTAATTCAAAAAATTGTTAATTTTCACTAATCTTTTCATTATTTTATTACTTATAAATCTTAGCTAACAACACATTTCATTAATTAATTTATTTTTCCCATTCATCCTTTACCTGTAGCTATTTGAAAGTTATTTGAATAACTGATAATTAATAATTTTAATTATCAACTATTTGAAAATTCATCATTGATTGAAAAAAAAAAAATCTCGAATCTGAGATTCAGCTTCTTCTTCTTCTTCTTCTTTTTCTCCCTGCTTTTCTATATCCACTTTTTCCTTTTTTTTTCTTTTTTTCAAAGCAGTATTGATGAGATGAAAATTATTCTAATCTTTTTGAAAATGAACATCTCCTACTTCCGGGATTAAATGAAGCATTTCTTAAATTACTTATATCCGGGATTAGATGAAATATTTTTTAAGTTAATTTTTATTGAGAAAGAAAGAAAAATTGTAAAATATCTTTAGGATAACGAAAAGCATAAGAACTTTAAACCAAACCAAAATATTCTGTTCCAGATTTCAAATCAAAATAGGTTTAGATCAATTAAAATTGAATGATTTCAAAAACTTTTTTAACATTACTGATCTCTTGAAATACCTGTGAGTTAATATAGCATTATGCGCTATTATTGATTGTCGTTTATAAATCAAAACTGAAATGTTCAAAATATATATATAATATATATATACATTTTTTTCTAGTAGAATTTTTTTTATTCAGAATATATTTTTATTTTTTATATATTTTTAATGGGACTGATTAAACTTTATCTCTAAAATTCAAATTTTATTTCGGTAGAATTCAGTCTATCTAATTAATATTTGCTAGATTTTAAATATTTCCAGAATCTTATCAAATATAGTACATCTCTATATAATTTCATTAGCTATTTCATTAAAATATGGTGGATAATATTGCATATATTGAGATCTAATTATTTAATCAATCAATCAGAAATGATTGTCTTATGATAGCTAATCATTTAAATGGTATTGTTAAATTCAAAGAGAAGAAATTTTAATGAATGGAGCTGTATCCACTATGTAACGCATGTTATTGTTGAACTATTATATTAAATGATCAATGGATCGATCAGCCGATCAATCTATGAATTTTTACGGCAATATGTAAATATCGCTCAGAATTTGAAAAATATACATTAGTATTTATTAAAATTAAAGAACTCATCAGAACTTTGTTTAAATTATGAAAGTTTTCGAGGGTTGCTCTACTTTTCAATTAATTAATTAATTGATTGACTAATGACCAACTGATTGATTGCAAAAAATTAACAGCTTAGTATAGAAAGTTTACTGTATCAGCATCCTTTTTTTTGCGTTATCCAATTTTCATACTTTTTTTATTTAGTAATTTTGATAAATTAAAATTTAAATTAAATTTTTGGCTAATAGAAGAAATCGAATTGGTTGACATCAACAAACAAAAGTATTCATTTTCATTGGAAACTAACATTTAATGTTCTTTGCACTTTCTTCAAAATTCGATATGTTTTGCTTTTTATATATTGATTATATGTAAATGTAATATAATATTTTTTTCTAGGTTTCATTTTCCTTTTTTTAAAGTCTAAGCCGATTTTCAATTTCGGTTAGATATTCTTTCCGGAAAAATATACACTAACAGGATCAACCTTTACCAATGAAAAAAGTCATAAACAGCTGTTAATGAGTTAAAATTTATTAGTTGTTTGTGTTGAATTATTTCGAGTAATTAGTGAAATTTATTTTAAATGAAAAACAAGCGTTTCTTTAATGATTGCGCTATTTTTTTCACTGTTTTTCAAATTTATTCCTATTAAAAATGACATTTTTTTTGACTTGAACTTTTGAATAGCTCATACATTTCAATTGAACTGAAATACTTTTTTTCCACTTTTAAATTTTCTAAACTAATCACATAATTAGCATTCGCTTTGATTTATATATTAAAAATATGAAATTTTAAAATTTGTTACTTAAAGATTAATCTTTGATCTATTTCATTTAACATAAAATCTCAATTAAAAGATTGCTAAACAATCAAATTTTTTTTTTTTTGAAACTCCGTTGATTTCTCATCAACATCTCCCTTAGTTTTGTTTAGTTATTTGTGTTTCTCTATTATAGAGAGGAAGAGAGAGAGAGAGAGAGGGAAAAAAAGTGACAGAAGAGAAAATCAATAAGTTATATTTATCAACGCCCAACTATTTCCCTTTCAATGCTTATCGTTATTTCTTTCATTTTTCAAATTAATTCCTTTAATATACTTTACTTTCTTTCAAATAATATACATTATATCATTTCATGATAAATATTTCTCCAACTTGACCATAACCATTGTGTCCACTATATATGTCCACTATATCTTATATCCTTCATATTCTATTCGATTCATCTGATAACATCATACTTCTTTGTTGTTTTATAACTTTTATCTTATATTTCTTAGATGACATTTTTTTTTCCAGTTAAAAATGACCGTGGAATGTCCACAATCATTTACATGGGAATGTGAGGAATTAAATTGCTGTGAAAGTTATCACTTTCGTGTGATATTACTTTTCATTGCAATTAGTATTTTTTTAACAGCACTTTTGGTTGCCGCTGTTTGGTTAGCATTTGAATTTAGGATTTCTTACAGGTAATTTCTTCCCTCAAAACTTTTTTTTAATCTTACCTAATCGGTTGTAATAATTATTTCCCAGAAGAAAAAAAAATTACTTTTGAAATTTTTTGATTGAAAATTTCATTCCTCCTAAAATTCATCATTTTTATTTTTTGCACTGAATGCATTATTTTTTAAAGTTTATATTTTAGATTGATTTTTTTTTAACAAATAATGAAATGAATGGAATTAAAAGTACTATTAGTTGCATAATTTATGTAGCAAATTATTGCATCCAATAAAATCAATCCATTTACCGACCAAGTATTGCTAAGAAAATTATAAATTTAATCATCATTTGATATTCATTTCGGATATCGAAAAAAAAATGAAAGAAACTCAATCAAATTTTACGACAAAAAAAATAGTAATTAAATTTTGTTTAATTTTTACAATTACAATTTTCAATAATTACCACTCATATTTGAATAATTTTGATTTAATTTAAAACTAATGCATTTTAATTTTAGAAGGAAGCGTTTACAAGAGATGGATCAATTTCGCAATGAACTTGAAATGCGAAGTTTTGAGGAAGCAAAATATTTGCGACGGATGTCACAAAACAAGTTTGTTTAAGTTTTTTTTTTTCCTTACCTTTTTTCTTTCATTCCTCTTTCTTCGTTCAAATTTCACTTCAAATTTCATTTAAAATGGATAAAATTAATAAGATGAATACGAATTAGACGAAACAACCATTTAAATTCTAAATAATTTAAATGATTAAATCTTTTCTCACAATTAGATAAATTTAACAGTTTGAAAAAAATGACAAAAAAAAAACAAAGCAATTCCTACAATTTTAAGTGAAAAATTTTAAATGATTTTCATTAAAAAAATTCATTTTTGTAGCTTTTTTGGCAATAATTGAAATGATATTTCAGAATGTTGCAAGTTTTAAAAATTAAGCATAAAAAATGCTGTTTAATTTGGGATCGATTATAAATATATGAAAATTAATTAATTAGTTAATTGCATATTAATACAACTTTTTTTGGCCAGATAAAAGAGAAATGTTCAAATAATTTACGAGAAAATCCAATTGATTATCAACAAAATAATTAAAAAAGGAATGAATGAATGAATGGATAATAGTAATAAATAGTGATAAAAGGATGGTTTTAAAAAATAACTAAGAAATTGAAATATCGATTTTAAATTAATTTTGCACAGACATTTCAACAAATGGGCAATATTTCTTCTCGTTTTTTTTTCCCTCCATCCTCTTATATTTTCATTATATTTCCTGTCAGCACTTCTTGAAGCAATTTTTGTTGTCACTCAGACAAGTGACATTTCATCAGTTGTGTTGATCAAAATCTTTCTTCATTTCATTCTTTTTATTACTTCTAGGTATAAATTCATCTTCAATCAAAAAGTTTCATCATGTCATTCCTTTAATTGTTAATTTAACATTTATTATCATTGCTTAATTACAGATAAAAGCAATTTTCTAAAACTGATATTGTACTGATTAAGGTAAATCTAACAAAAAAAAAGGAAGCAAATCAATAAACGTATATTTTAACATTATGCTCTGATGAAATTATCTCCAATTAATTAATTAATTATGTTATTTGATTTCATACAAATATTTTATTTGTAATGAAATGCATTAGCAATTTATCGAATGTTTTAGTTTCACCAAAAGTTACAATGAAAAAGGACGAAGATTACAGTGCTAAATATGAAGTTAATATATATATATATATATATATATATGTATAGATAGATATATGTATGTCAACAGCGCCAATATTGATTGAAAATTTCACCGATTGATTTATACTAACAATTAAAAATCTATTTATTAAAATTCTTTTTTTTTACTTTCATTCTTTGATAATATCAAATTTTCCATTTATGGTATTGCATTCCTGAAAGTAATTAATCAATGATATTGTCAAATTATTAGCATATTTGATTCTTGTTCTTGCTGATAATATGTCACAATTGTTCACTTTTATCATTATCATTAATTTTACTAGTTTTACTACTCAATTACATGAATTAGTTTGCTGTCATATAATAGTAAGTGTTTGAAAAAATTTGTTTGCATTTTGCAAATTTCAGTTTTTATTTTTTTCCAAGTCAAAATGCACGTTTATTTAGCATGTACAAGTTTTCACTTAATTTTGATAATTAGGCTAGTATCATAATGACAAATGGCATGTGTCACTTCTACTCATTATGCATATATTATTATTATTTACATATATACCGTAGGCTATCTTAATTTTTCGATGAATTAATTCAATTTAGTCGTTTATTTTCTTTTTTTTTGTCCTTTGTCTGATAATAAAATATGCATGAGATGCCTATTTGTGGGTACATGCTGAAAAATGCTGCAAATATTTTGTATGATATCATATGTTTAAATAAATTACAGGATGTGTTAATAGTTTTGTTTTGAAGCATTAAAATTATATTTCAAAAAAGAGAAGCAAGGTAAGCATCACTGATATGTGATCGATGAAATATTTCAAATGTTTATTTCATTAATTAACATGCAAAAAAATATCTAATAACCTGAAATACAATTTCAGTATTTCCTGTGCTATAATTTCAGTATTTCCTCTTCTATGTTTACCCTTTTTTCTCGATGATAAATATCAATTATATCAAATTAAATTTCATGTTTTCATAACGATATATGCTTGTGATATTACGTGAATATAGCTTATACACAAGTTATTTCCAAATTTTCTCCCATACTTTCAAATTTTCTCCCGTAGTTAGCTATTTTCTAATCAATTAACTTAACTTAATTGATTTATGTAAACCAATTGCATGACCATATCTATAAAGGATACGTATACACAATGAAATTAAAGGAGATTTACAACACAAGTTTCAGACGGTACATTAATAGCCAGAGCCTTACATTGTCACAATAACTTCTTTGTCTATTACCGTATATGGATGAAGAGGAAGGAGGAGAGGGAAAGATTTAAATATTCCTGAGGAAGGTTCAAATGACCGGAAAGAAAATGGACCGAATACTGAAAGTGTCTAAACTACCTAAATTTTGCATCCGTACTTTATGAATCCGAAAGTCTTTTTTCTTGATTGTAATAAAATTTTTAGCTTTCCAAATTTAATCTATCAACTTTCAATTTTCGTCAAGTTCGGAATCGTTAGAATTTCACCATTTAATGTTGAAATTTTATCTCTCATAGGTTTTATCTATGTTTATTAATTTTTGCAAAACAAATAGCTACTAAATCAAAATTACCAAATGCAAATAATATTTCTTATCATTTTAATTTGGGGTGTGAAATTATCGAAATTTCAAACTTGAGCAAAAGATAATTTAAATGATAAGTATATAAAAATGAATTAGAATTAAGGGAAACAGATAACATAATTAATTAAAAATACTCATTATTTCAGACAAAAAAAACCCCCACATTTTCCGCCTGATTACTGAGAGTTGTGATTTCTGCAGTTGAAACCCAAAATTTTACCAGATCTGAGGTATTATTCGAACTTGCACTATTTCTTTTCTTTTTTTTCCTAGCAAAACACAGGAAAATATCAGAAGTTTTTTGTTAAATTCAAATGAAAATATTTGTGAATTTAATTTAATTCTTGCCTATAACTAATAATTAATAATAATAATAATAATAATAATAATAATAATAATAATAATAATAATAATAATAATAATAATAATAATAATAATAATAATAATAATAATAATAATAATAATAATAATAATAATAATAATAATAATAATAATAATAATAATAATAATAATAATAATAATAATAATAAT